CAAGATGTCTTAATACTTGTCTATTCAGGAACAACCCATTCTTTTTGTGCCACTTCTGCTGTTCCAGTAGGAGAGGTGCTACAGGTTGTCTTACTAATGTTCCCAGCTGTGCTCACTTCTTTTGAACCCCTTTTGTCTGAAAAGACTTGACAAAAGGCAGCAAATTCAAAAGTGGGATTCAGTTGTATTGCAGTCTTAAAGGTCCCTGGGGCTTTGCTTTTTGAACCTGGCTGCCACATGACCACCATTGTCTTAGCTGTCAGAATGTCTTTCATCTTCTTACTTGGACCCAGGGAGAGTGATCAGTATCTCCCCGCTGTATCTGCCTCATATCTTCATGGCTTACAGCACTGGTTCCCAGCCATTTACTCATTTACTGAACCTTAAGGCGATCCCAAACCATTTCCGTCATCCTGTCATTCACCAGATCAGGGGGATGACAGGACTGGTTCCTCTCGCTATCTTTTCCTAACTTTTGGAGAAGTTCTTGGAACAATCCTAATCCTGCTTTAAGATGGCTCCCTGGGTGGTCAATCAGATTCCTACAGGATTTGTACTATACTATCATTGGATTTTGGATTTTAGTTACTGATTTCAAGGCAACACAAATATTTCTAAGGTGGACTTTTGATTAATCTTTTCATGGATTCAAAGAATATGGGGCCCCCTTTTTGCCACAGTGTTTAAAGGCTTGATCAATAAGGGTGTCTGTGTGTTAAGTGCCTCTGGCTGCTAGTAGGAGCCTATGAATCATAGTCTCTGCTGACAGTTGTTGTTGTTTGGAAATCTGGAGGCACTTACATCTTTCCATGCCACGAGTTATCCAATGCAGGCTACATTCCTCTTGAACTAGATATTTGGAGGTTAGAAAGTATTTGCACCTGTTTGTCATTATCAATGCTACAACCTGTCGTTTGGTTTTTTGTTTTTTTTTTGTTTTTTTGTGTATGGAAATCAAACTTATAATCTCCAGATCCAAAATGATCTGCAGAAGAATTAAGTCAACTGCAGTTTGGGGAAGCTGGAAAAACAACGTGTGATTGTGACGTAAAAGCAGTGTGTGGCTTATGGAAACAATTGCTTTCAATGAAGCACAGTGACTATGCGCTTAAAGTGATCGGGAACAGATAAATGTGCTCACTGCTCTGAACTAATGCCATTTAAAGTAATGCTAAAGACCCTTAAAATTAGATTATCAAAATGCAATATTATCTTCCATTGTAAGCTAAAACTGGCTTTTGCACTCTTTGGCCATGGTTGACAATCTTGTAAACATCTGTCAGAGGTGACAGCACATCTGGCATGTGACTTAAGTATGTTGGTGGATGTCATTATTAAGAGACTTCTAAATCCTATCATCATTATCTAACACTTGATCTCAGGTTTCTGTTAATGACTTCATTATGTGTTAGTGTTTTCCCTTTGTGTGCGGCACTACTTGTTAGCTGTTGAAGAATGGGTGTCAGCCATGATGTTTATTGTAGCAATGACTGGCAACCTTTTAAGGTAAAAAAAAAAAGAAAAGCCTACTGATGTACTGTTATTCAGTGTTTGGTGTATTTCCCGGAATTTAAATGCTCCACGTTCAAACAAATAACTCCATCATTGTGAATAGATGAGTTTAATAGCTCAATTAAGCTGTTTAAAAAATAGTAACTAAACTCAAAACCAGCAGTAACCCTAATTTACTTTTTTTTTTTTTTTTTTTTTTTTGTAGCTGAGTAAGTTAAAAACTTACATATTGTGACAGATGCTGCCATGCATGTCTGCGTGGCTGTGTAGTTTTCATGTGTGTTAAATCCCATACGTGTAGTACAAGGACACATGCATGGCACAGCAGGAGCGTGGCGTGAGGAGAGCTCCCTCTACATGCATGTGCTGCGTGTTCAGCTGTCACTGAACCACAGAGGCCCCTCCTCCTCCTCCATTCCCCGCACTCTCCCTCTCTGTTTTTCCTTTAACCTTGCCGCCCCCCTGTCCCTGAAGTATTCCTATCTCCCCTCTGTCCTCCCGTCTCCTGCCTTTCATTTCTCCTCCCAGCCCTGTACATTCATGACCAACTGTGCGTGTCCTCTCCTGCTTTCCTGCTGTAACCCAGTCATCCCCAGCTCTCAGCTGTGCCCCTCTGACATGAACTTGAGATGACATCGATTCAACCCCCTGAAGTGTAAGTGGTCCTGGGAGCCAGCAGGACCACAGCAAAAGTAGTACTGAGGAACAATACTGGAGTACCGCGCTTTTTGGGCTTAGCTGTGGCAAACAGTTTTGTTCTATGCGGCCTTAAGCACTGCTCCCAGAGTTTGCACTTAATTAGTTGGTAGTTGAAGTATGTAGTTTCTCCAGTGTCTTACATCCTGACTCAAACGGATCTTAAGCAGCTGACACGGTCAATACTTTGATACCCCTTCAGTTACGAGCCTACAGCACTGCATTGCAGAGGGAGGTTAGCAAGGCAGTAGCACTTAAAGTGCCGTGAAGCACAAGACAATGTCACCCATAGGTTTGCCTTCCTCCACATCATGGCTGTGTCCCCCAGCGTCAGTCCTCGCGCTGTATACTGGCACAAGAGGCAGGATCACAGCTATGACACCCCATGTATCTCATTCAGGCATAGAGAATGGGGCTAGTGAACCGAGTAGCCCCCCTAACACTGGCCTCTGCCTGCACCTGCAGGCCCAGCCGATGGTCGGAAAGTTGGAAGGAGAAGGGGGAAGTGAGTTTGAGATGTGAGGACGCTTAGATCCAGTTTGAGTAGTAAAGCCTGGACCAGAGACAATGGCGTCATACGGTATGGAGGACCCAATCAGAGAAGTCTAAAGTAAGAGAGAACTGGTTATCTTTGTGTTGGATAACCACCGTGATGGGCTCGGTGAGTTCTTTGTGAAGTGAGGATGGAGAGAAGGAGAGTGAATGGAGGTTACTAGAGAACCTCTGGGCCCCCCTGCAGGTCATTCAGTCATTCATAAGATGAGGCCATTTTATAGACCTCCCCCTACCCTGGCTTTTGTTGCCGCTGTGTCCATAAGCGGAAGTGAAAATGGAAAATGGAGATTAAGAGTGGTCATGCAAAATGGATGCGTGTTGGCACAAGGTGGATGACCAGTTTTAAAAGTTTAGTTTATTGATGGGCCCTGGCTGTATAAAGGCTCGAGATGTTTACCTGACAGAAATTCGGCCTGATAACCTCTTCTGTCTGCATGGATTTATGATGTTTACAGATGTGCTCAGTTTATGAAAAAACAGCCCCTCTTCCCCAGTGGGTGCAGCCATCTTTAATCCAGTAAAGAGCACAGGGATTTGGTCGCCCCTGGCCTGCCTGAAGGCCCTTTGGAAACCTCTCGGCCGTGAGAATGGGGGCTGGGGTTTGGAGGTGTGGGTTGGGATGTGTGTAGCCATGCAGGAGGGGCCGGGGACAGTCTTTGTGAATTTAGTTAATCTAATTTGAGCTCTTTCCCCCCTAAGGCCCTTTCTCTCTCTCTCTCTACCGCTGTCCCTGTTTCAAACATCAGTCCAGGCTGGGGGAAAGTTTCACGTCTCCCTGGTGAAAATAGGCTTTGTTTAGTTTAATCCAATATCCTCATACGTGAACCTGAGGGGAATATAACTGGGAGCACCCACTGAAAAAAACCAAACTGAGATTCTTTCTGCTGTTTGTGTGGTGCAATCAAATTAAAATAGAAAGCTGATACACATGTGGGATCTGAGCAGTGTTACAGCACAAGTATGAAACTTAAACCGGCAAACATACAAGTCATTTTAAGATGCAACAAACCATGTTAAATATGGCTATTTATGATGAAAATAAACCAGTTATTAAAAAAAGGTTTTAAGTGTTAATAAATATGTTCGTATGGACAAAGTGAAGCTACCGTTGGTGAAGGGTCAGTTGGAGAATCTTCATTAATAGACCCGTTTGAACTTAATAGTATCTATCAAAGGGCAGCTTGAAACAGAGACCAGGATGTTGCTGCTGCCTAAAGAATGTAAATGAACCACTTGGAAGCCTTTCTTTGGGGTTTCACACCTCTGATGAACTCATTGTGATGCTGTCGGATATCAAACGGGCATTAACTCATTAGGGTTTGCCTTTGAAGTTGCTCCTGAATATCAGGGTCTTGTAATCCTTTTTTTAATGGATCAATGAGTAGGACAGTGGTTCCGCAAAATGATTAACGTGACAGCCTTTCTCACCTAATGTTCCCGGGTGTTTTGCATGAATGGGTTGAAAATTGATTAATTTAGGAAATGCACCGGTAATGGTGTTAATGTGGAGAGGTTGATAGTAAGTGTTACATTGCTTTATCAGTTGGCTCTTATCTAGCCGTACACCCCAACCCCCTCTTATCATCTTCCCCTTTTCTTTCTCCGACTATCTTACTCTTTCCTTAGCTTTGTAATTTTAGTGTCTTCCCCTTTGCCCTCCATTTTAACTTAAGGCAATAGGTGGTGAAGGGCAGGAATGTGGCCGAGGGACTGTAAGGATTTATCACACAAAGGTGCGAGGGCTGCTGCCTGTGCTTCTGCGCCTGGAGATGTAACCGTTTAGGGCCAACAGCATTCCCACCACAGGGCTAATACAGCGTTTTATTGCTTTTTTTAGTTTGATACTTTAGACCATATACTTTGTGGCTGCAGGGAGATGAATTGGAGGAGAGGTGTCGGGGACAGAGTTGCCCTCTGAGTAGTGTGTGTGCATGCATGCATGGGTTTTCAGTCTTAGGATTTGTGCGAGAATTGTTGAGTAAAATTTCCAGCAAGGTAATATAAAGCATAATAATAGTTTATCCCCATATTCCTCTTATCTTGCCCTGCTTTTACCACTTAAACATGCTCTGTCTCTCTCTCCCCCTCTCTACTCTTGCTCTCTCTCTCTCTCTCTCTCTCTCTCTCTCTCCCCTCCCATTCCTTCTCTCTCCACTCCTCTCACTCTCCCTGTCCCGTCCTCCTCCGCTGCCTCTCGGGTTACGATGACTGGGGGTTTTCTTGCTTCCACCTCGTAGAGAGGGTCTGTGTGTGTGTGTGTGTGTGTGTGTGTGTGTCCCTCAGGGCTGAGCTGTGTCCTTGTCCCTGCCTCCTGGCAGCAAGGAGCCACCCAGCAGCCCGCCTGTGATTGGCCAGGGGAGCGGGGCTCTTGACACAGCGCGGTGCTGACTGCTGCTCCAGGACGTGTTTCAACAGATGGTCGAGGTTAGAGAGTGTCATCACATCGGAGAGAGGATTAGAGGAGAGAGGTTGTCTTCCAGGAGCTGTGTGGTCCCCTCTACTCTTCAACCCGAGACACAATCCCCTCTGAGCGAGGGGAGACCCGGTGGAGAAACGCGAGAAGAAAACTGAACAGAGGAATCCTCGCCTCTCACTTGGCCAGCACTCTGCTCCCCTGCATTTTCAGGTACTGTGCAACTTCTTTTTTTTTTTTTTGTCTATTTTGTATTTTCCACTGCTTTTACAGGGTCTGTGCCTGTTAGTTTGTTCAGTTGGCAGTACATTTGTGATGCAGCATGCAGTTAGGAGTGTACAAGTGCAGTGAATCTGTGTTGCCTGTATACAGCAGCTCTGTGTGCGCTGGTCTTCATACTTTCCCCCCCTGAATGACAGGAATTCCCTTCGTCGCAAATTCCTCCGTCTCAAGGGATTAGAAGGCAGCACATTCCATTAATGTCATTTTTTTTTCCCCAATCAAAAGCACCCATCTGTTAATGTCTAGTTTTCTGAATGCAGGATGTTAGATTTGAAAAGGCTACTGTTAGTGGGGGAGTTATGAGTTATAATATGGACAAGGTTGAATAAAATATCAAATTTTTTTTTATCCTAAAATCTTGAGTGAAGATAAATTGTTTCCTTATTCACTCCGTCAGGTCTGACAATAGGAAATGAAAACGTTTTTCTACCTTCCCAAAACTCAGTGGGGCATTTCAGCATTCCCTCACTTCAGCCCAGATAAGTTTGTTCATAAATCTTATTCACAGTGCACTTCTGGCAGAACGTGTCAGTATACGCTAAATGGATGAGCTGCTGAAGAGCGCTTTCAGGACAAACTGTCAGAGCTGAGCAGAGAGTCGGACTCAGAATGCACACCTCAGCTATTTAACTCAAGTGAGAAGTGAAACTTGCCAGCGGAGTGGGAATATGATGTATAGTATTTATACCTAGCTTCAGGCACTGTGTGTGTGTGTGTGTGTGTGTGTGTGTGTGTGTGTGTGAGGTGTTTGCAAATAGAGATTGTGCAGCTGTGAAAGGCTGTGTGGACAGCAGCTTGTATAGGTGAAAGCATGCTGTTGTGTGAATTTGTGTTTACCTTGGTGAACCCAGCCGTAGCTACACTTCCTGCTTGTTACTTGAAGTATGTAACGCAACCGCCAATAGGTTGTGATGACTGCTGCTTTAAGGCCAGCCGAGACGTGCGTACAAAATGTGGCTGTGTGAAACGCATGAAAGATTTTTGAGAGAAGTCGAATGGTAAGTTGATCGTCTTTTTTTATTTATTTTTTTTAGACACAGATAGAACTTTCATAAGAACTATTGAGTTTGACTCATGGATATGTTTTTCTGTATTAACGAGAGAGATATTTCACTTACACATAAAATTGCATCTGAATGCTAGAAAATCAAAATGCTTTAGTTGAACATGTTTTACTGGTCTTAAAATACATTTCTATGCTTAGGGTAAGCTTGGATTCAACCTAGTGTGATATGTTATTAAATTTCCTCTATTTAGGGACCAAGTGAGTGACTTGGGACTCTTTATTTTTTTATTGCGTGTTGGATCAATATGTTCACCTTCTCAACCAGTCCACAATAATTTATACATGTGTTCCTAAATGGCAAAATGATGCTGTGGTCCTGCTCAAAGCCAGGCAGCTTGTGCCAGGCACAGTTAGGGGAAAATGTAACTGCTTATATTTCAATACATTGCCACTGCCAGTATGTGTTACTGGAGGAGAAAGGCCAGGGGGAAAAAATGAAGAAGCCCAAATTCAAACTTTCAGTGTTGACGAGACTGATCCATAAATCTTCCCTTCACTTCAGTTTCACCTGGAAGCGTTTAGATTAAATTTCTGATTACCCTACCCAGAGCACAGCAAAGCAGCTTTGGGGCGTTTTTTTTTTTTTTTTTTTTTTTAAAGGCAGTGCTGACTGCCAGCTCAGAAGAGAAGGGAGATCCTTTAAACAGTTTAGCTTCACTGTGCTACAAACAAGAGCAGCAGCTGCTGCAAATAATTAGGTTCTGGGGGGCAGCCGCTTGCCAAGACAAACGTTGTTCTAGTAGCGGCTCTGCCATCGTGTGTGTGTGTGTGTGTGTGTGTGTGTGTGTGTGTGTGTGTGTGTGATAAGTGAAGTAATTCATTCTTCTGATAAGTGTGGTGAGTGACTGCATGTAAGGGAAGAGGTAGTATCTGTGGTTTTCATTTATTGTACAAACGTGTGTGTGAAATGCCAACCACAGTGAATCAGAGACTTTCCAGACATCTTGCGTGACTTCATATAAATGCCAACTGATGAACACGGTCAAAGGCATTCGAGGCAGACTAATGTAAGAAATTAAAAGGGCATTAATTATACGTATGTGTGAGCAGTGGAGGCAATCTTCGGCAAGTATTTAACCTTTTTTTTCCATTCGTTCTTTGTCATTAACTCCAGGTCAGCACCATCATTTTGTCTCAGCTGAGCCAGACTATCCTGCATTTTACTTTCTCAACTTGACCCTACAATGACAGGAGTCACATTTATGAATTTTATCATTACATGGTTCTCTGGTTTGCAGTCAAATTGAAAGCCTTGCAGATGACTTTCTGTTCTCCTGTAAGAATAGGAAGATGCGTGGGACCAGTAAAAAACAGACTTTAGAGTTTATAAAAATGATCTCTTTGACCAAATTGCACCTAATCATTGAAACTGGCCGATTTTAATAATTTACTTACGGAGTTGGTCAACATCTTTGCTTTGGAAGTTCCTCACATGTTTCATCCCTCTGTAAAAATACATAAAAAGATGCTTTATGATATAGTTTGTGTGTGTTCTCTTGTGTGCAAGTATGTTGAGAAAAGATTTCCTAAACCACCCTCTCCTCACCCTGTTTATCTCTCCAGCTTAATGATAGTGTTCCTCACACTAGCCTGATTGCAGAGTAGCGCTGGAGTAGATTGCACAGTCCTATCACTGCAAATGACCAGTATTTGAACAGTGAACATTCTTTTTATTTATGTGTGATCTAGAAAGGCTATCTTTAGATGAGTCAGACACTTTCTCAGCTCTTTTGTTGTCCTCCCTGTTCAAACATTTCCGTGCTATGACGTACAACCTTTTTCCACGAGACGTGTCCTTGACTGTTGAGGATAAATCTCCAGGGAAATGTGCCATGTACATATTGAGATGCCCTCACAATGTACTGCGTAGATCTATTTTGGGGTATTTTGGGAGCTCACAATAGCACCCCCAAGTGTTTGTTCAGCCTCTCATTTGGGCGGTAAAGGTCAGGGCGTGCAAACATCACATTCAGTGCATCATTGGTAGGAATGCCTGACCCTCCAACCTTCGATTTAGTGCCTGCAGATTTTAAAGAGAGCTGCAAAACCAGGCACATTTGATGCTTTACTTTTTCTTTTTTTTTTTTTTTGTCTGGCATTGTTCCACTCATTGTCTTAACCCTCTGCCCTGATGAGTTTGAAAGAGATGGGGTTTGTATAGAAAAACACATTTTCAGTAGATGGTTCAGCTTTGCGACAGCCAGGAATGACCCCTGAGTAGTTCATTGTAATGTTAAGTTTAGACCTTACTCATTAATGTCCACTTTGAGCCAGCGAGTGACAAAAAATGCTCAATGCTTTTACTGTGATGTCCGGAGCTGCTTTTGTTCAAGTGTCACTGCACACAGATGCAGCATGGGCTTCACATGGAGAAAGAGAAAGCTGGGTCAAGAGAGACACAGAAGGGATGAAGTAGAAGAGGCCGAGATAAGAGAAAGGGAGGTGTGACCATGTGATAAAAGAGCAGTGGTTTGAAAGTGGACAGAAAGATCCAACGGCGTTGTCGTGATCAGAGGCTGGATCTTGCGCACACGTTCTTGGTTGTCACTCACACGTGCGCGCATTTGAAACCCATTGACACAAACATAATCTTCTTATGACACAGGCATGTACACAAGAGAAACATAGAAAAACGTGTACACACACACCATCCACTAGCTTACCCCCTCTGTCCTCCACCCCCCAGAGGGCTGCACTGTCCCTGCTTTGCCATCTCTCTTGTCCAATAATCCCTTCCCCAGGGAGAAGCAATCTGTTTTAGATTTGAAAGAGAAAGGGCCCTGCCTGTATCACGTACAATTAAGCAGCCGTCAGAATGCGTCGGCGTAAGTTTGGAGGGAGAAGTGCTGCCACTGGGGGGGTTGTCCCTTTTCATCCGCCGCTTTTCCCGAATGGAGATAATGGGGTGGGAGGGTTGGAGGGATAGGAATGGATGGGGCGGGGGGGGCGTCCAGAAGGAATGAATACATTTCCTCACCCCTCCATCCCGCTCCACAGCTCGACTAATAGAAGCCAGCATGCGTTTGTTTCAGCTCTTCTGCGCCCTTTCTTTCCCTTCTCCCCCGGAGCCGGCAAACACATTCAGCCACTGCCAGCACTCCCCTCCTCTGCCAATGTGTGTGTCTGTGCGTGCACAAACACTCATTTGTGTGGACTTGGCCATGTGCTACTGGTAGCCTCTGGTCCTGTTTGCCCTTACTGGAACAGCCCGCCTTTGCCGTGTGGATGCAGAATGGCTGATTTGAACAGTTGCGTTTATACTGACAATGTCCAGCTTTGCACGACACACATTATCTGCGCTTTGCTTTCCTTGAATGGCCTGCGGCAAGTTCAGCCGAGTCTTGCCGGTGTCTCTTGAACATGTTGGGGTGATGCATTGACTGCATTCCTTCAACTTTGGGTCTGATGTAAAGGAATAGAAGCATTTAGCGGCGGTAAGCTTCCTGTTTTATGCTTTGTAAGAGAACTGCTTGCTCAGTAGATATCGCACTTTAGATATTTTGCAATGCACTAAGATCTGGAATTTTTGCCGTGCAGGATAAAGTTAATTCAATTCCAAATGACGTTACTGCATGCTTTGGAAAGCCACACACTGAGCCAGAGGCAATGGAAAGGAGAGCTCCCCTGTGCACAAATTACAGGTTACGTGTCAGACTTGAACACAGACAGACTGATTCTTACTCTTTAGTGAATGACTAGTTCACACACACACACACACACGCGCATATATGCCCACAGGCGTGGACAGTGGGGAGTGCTGAACAGGCACAGGTGCAATCAGACTGCGAATGCGTTTTTATGAGCGGTATCATGTTGGTGTGTCACAGCCGTGGAGAAGTTTGTTTATGGCATTCAGGGTCACGCA